GATGCTCTCTATAAAAATGGTTCTAAAATTGTTCTTGTTCTTGAAAGAAACAGAAAGGAACTTGTTTTTGCTTTCTGGAATGGAATATTGAATCGTTCAAATCACAATGTGACATAAATGACAGAGACCACTGGCTATGCCACTGGACAATAGTGTTCGACCATGGTTCGACCGTCTGTCAGCAGCCGAGCAGTGTCTATTTCAATTCATCAATTCATCACCTTTCTCCACTTCCTCGATTTTGAACCGTTTTTTCAAGCATTTGAACCAGAATCTACTTCATTCATTGATAACGTCGAATCGAGGACGGACCTCGGTCGGACCGGAACCAATCTTGGGAATACCAAATAGCCTGGCAATGTCCTCTATAGAGGAACAGCTGCAAAAGCAATTCCTCAAAATATGGCAGGACACACCAGGAATGGGACAATCGAAGCTCCACATGAAGGAAGCTTCGAAGAGGCTCGCAAAAGAGGTTCTATTCCTAAACAGGCGAAACCTTAAAATGGTAGTGTGGCTCCTAACGGGACACAACCACCTCAATAGGCACCTGAAGCTTATTGGGATCAAGGATGACTCCCTTTGCAGATGGTGCCTGGAAGATGACGAAACGTCATCACATGTGCTCACTGAGTGTCCAGCACTGACGCATCAGAGGAGGGCTCTGTCCTTGGCAACATCATTTTGAGACCAGAGGACGTAAAAGATATTCAGCTGAGAAAGCTGCTAAACTCCTCCAAGGCAGTCGGCATACCCAGCTGAATGTCGTAACATGTGGGCGCACAATGGGCCCGAATAAGGAGGCCCACGTGCAGGGGGTTCACCCGCCCACCAGTGCTTCGAAGAAGAAGAAGAAGAAGAACGTCGAATCGATGAAATTCATAATTTGGAAGCATTTCGAATACAGATTGTTGAGAAAAAACGCCTTTCTCCACTCAATCAAGCTGGACTGAATTGAGCTGACGTGCAAACGTTTTCAATTAGCGAAGTAGGAGACAAATTAGTGGAAGCGAGACCCGATATATGTTTGTATCGAAGACTTGGTATGATAAATTGGGCTGGTTAAACCGCTGTCACTCATTCGTATTACCATAAGTAGGTCAGGGGTGCCATTTCCGTGAATAGCAGGAGAATCAAGAAACTCAGATTTGTTTTCTGTTTCAAGGTCGAATGCCTTCAGACTGGAAACTAAATATTTTCTAGAGTGATATCAACAACATTTCTGTGTGTATAAGAATGAGGGGTCAAGAAACATTTTTGTACGATAAAAATGTGCGAATTTTTGTTGCAAATCAAGGTCAGATGCCTTCAAATTGGAAATTAGATTTTTTTATTATACAAGGTGTCCCAGAACAACGTCCAATAATTCTACAGGGTAAACTGGAGACCAAAATAGGCCGATTAAAGTCAACCTACCTCTATACTGAAATGCACCCGTGAGTCGTGAGAGGACGTTGAAGAAATATTTTATTTTCAGATTTCCTTGAATATTTCAAAATCCCTCGAAAGTACTGCTCTGTTTCAAAGACAATCAACTATCGTGAATTTGCATGGAAAACATGTCCTATCAATTCAATCAATATACAGGAAAATATTCATTTCGCATTCTCTTTGATGAACATCGATATAACTACTGTCTGTACTAGTCTGTAGGTTAATCAAGGAGGTGGTATATTCATTATTTCAGATTTTCTTGGATTTTCTCTCCTCGTTTCTATTGAATAAAAATATCGATATTATATCAATATACGTGTTCTAAGTACACATCAGATGATTTGCCCCAAAATGTCAGTGGGTTCAAAGAATTTTCCTATCAGAGAGCCTAACAGAAAAATTCACTAGCTTGTCAGTGATGATTCAATATTTTTTCTCATAGTTCCATTAGATCAAGGTATCTGAATGAGGTTGAAGATAACGTCAATCACTGGTTGAGTGGTGATAATGATTTTTATCTACTCACTGGACACAAACCTGTCAATTTACTCCCACGAGAGGATGAAAACTATTACCTCCCGTGTGAGGCTTCCTTGGTAGAGATATGCGTATAAAATCTGTGCTAGCCAAGCACCTAATATGTGTGTCCATCACTACTATATAAAACTAATAACAATTTCATTTTTGAAGTCCAATGACATTTTCTTACTCAACCGAAACTTCAAATAAAATGCAATTACACAATAAACAAATACGATGTGAACAGGAGTGTCAAGTTGATTTTCGTTCAGATTCGAATACTGTCTGTAACCTTAGATGATGTAAAACATTGATTTGGATTGAATTTCAAGACCACGCTCTCAAATATGTGCGTTTGTGGATAACATTTTAAATAAATCTTGGAAGTAAAGGTTTCCATTTACTCCCGCGCGTGAAGTTTGAGGCTCGACGCGTAGCGGATAAATAGCTATTTTCGAGCAAGGTTTATTGACTTATTATTTCAATTCATCGAAATGATCCAGAGCAAACAGTAAATATAAGTTACTCACCAGTCTTTTATGAATGATCTGTTATGCGCTGTTTTGTTGATATATTATCAGATTGCTGAAGGCGCCAATTTCTCTTCCAGGAAAAATTATGATTTTCTTCCTCATTCAGGCATGATCTCTCTATAATGACCTTCATTGTACTGAATGAAACATTTTGAGATGATATATCTTTGTTTCTCAATTGTAGGTAGCAATTGGTGCAATACTATAGTATATAGTCTATGTGTAGTATGTGATTACAGGACGTTTCTAACTAGAATTATTTTCTCGTAGGAGGGGTACTTGCACTCCCTTCCTGTCCCCCTAAATGACGCCCATGAAGTAGATGATGGTGAATCGAGATAATTATATAAATTGATATCGTTTCCATAATGATCCTCTGTTAACTGTGACGTATCTCTCGAAATTCAACTCCTGCACTATCCTATTATCGTGTATTATGAAGGAATTGAGTGCCACATGATTTCGATTGAAGAACTAACATTCATTTCGAACGGGATTACATGGTGTTGAATTTGCTATCAGAGGTTCATTTAGCGAGCTCCATTAGATTATATAATCCTGCGGATTACAATAAGTTCTATCGGTTCAGCAGGAATCGAAATGGAATTGTGTGCAGGATCGACCATTGTAATGGTAGATGGAATCTGGGTAAATTCAGCGAGAAAACTGTATGAATGAAAATGATACGGTTTTCCCCAATTTCCTTGAGATTTCCTCTCCTCATCTGTAGTCAGTGACAGCTTATTTATGAAATTTTCGAAGAATAAGGGTGAAGATGTGAGTTTGAACTTCGACTTGTATCTGTTCTTTGACAATTTTCAGATAACCTTCGATGACACTCAGACTTATTGGCACATCTTATTATCTTACCTCGTCTATGCCGTTATTGATTTTCAATCATCATCAACGACCTATATGGTTCTAATATGAGGGCTACTGCAATTAACAACGAGGTGAGTGTAACACTCCTGCTCACAGCACCAGAGGTTCATTTTTCCTCCTCTTACAAGTAATGGAGAAATTGGTTCGTCGAGTCCTGTGGTGCCCCCTGCATTTATTCCTCGTCACGGGTTCTCTGAACTTCGATTAGGTTACTGGAGCTTATAGTTAATCAATCCAAAGATGTCCATCTGCCGAGCAGCTGCGGTTTGTCCTCGCTGCACCATGGTGAGGTTTGGCTCAGAAGATGAAGGAAAAAAGAAGAATTTGTCAAGAGAGACCGTGAGGTAAAACTGAACTCTGAAGAGTGACGAGAAAACCATCCAAGACAAGATGAAGATTGATGAGTATCCAGCAAGGGTACCTCTAGTTGGCTATTCCCACACTCCCAAGTCAAGAGCTCCCTTCCTTTCATTCATTTTCGTCTCACGTGTGTCTTTCCAATTATTTCCTTCTCAACTCCATGTGAGTATAGCTTCTGATCAGTTGCAATTCATTCACTCATATCCAATTCCTCAGTTTTCATTCTTCTTTTAGTGTACTTTTATGAGTTGATCATGATGAATCCCAAACATATACCTCTTTGATTAACACATATCATATGTTAGAGTCCGACCACGTTAACTTTGGGACAGCATGTGACGCAACGCATATGCATTTTCAATGCATACGCGACCACGTGCTGTCCCAAAGTTATCGTGGTCGGACTCTATCAAATGTCGTGGAAATGATTTTGGGATGAATTTTACTGTCCCCAACTATTACCCCTCCAATTTGAGCACTATGTACTTGGACCAACGTTTATTGAAAGACTATTCCACTCATGTCCTTGAGAACTAATCAGAATCGACCATTTTCACAGAGTCTCCTATATTCCAGGGATTTATTTCGTTTATTGAAATTTATCAGACTCGCTCTACCAATAAAAGATTTTCAGCAATATTATTCTTGACGTATATAACGTCAATTATGTTCGAAGCCAGAATGATGAATGCAGTATCCTCAACTCTCGCCAGGCGCTCGTTTATTGTCTCAATCATGATATATTTGTACGAATACAACTAGTGATGCTGAATCTTCTGTAAATATTCGTCAATTTACATACTCCAGCTAGCTGCTTCAATTTCGCTCATGACTGATTCAAAATTTTCTGGCCTTCGGCTCGAAAGTTTTGATAAACAAGGTCATTTCCGAAATTATTACGCAACAAGTTGTGGATTTGATCTCCGAATATTTCCTGGGAATAGTATCACTTTTGCTATTACATAATATGATGATTTTCGTGACTGATCTTTCCGCTCTCATCTTTCAGAGAACCTTACTGATCTTTCCGCTCTCATCTTTCAGAGGTAACTCATAATCTAGACATTTTTTTGGCTTCTCAAATGATTCGCTGAGAATCACAGAAGACTTGAGAGAGAGAAAACCTGATGGGGGCGCAAAGCATGTGATGAATTTTAATTATAATGTCATGATTCTCACGAATGGTATTCATGGATTTTTCTGACAGCACGCGTCGCAAGTTTTTTGCTGGAGGTCCTTAAAACTATACGAGTAACTAGCGAAATATCAACGATGCTCCTGCGCATTCAAAAGTATAGTTATACTATAGGTAGGTATATTCACGTTAAAGTTTCGAAAAAACTCAGAATGTTATACAATCGTCCTGCTAGAATATTGTCCCCACTTCTACTTTACTCATGGGTCCATAAAACTGTTGAAGGACCCTCAAATTAGCAGAACGGGTCTTACAAGCTTTCATGTCAAGAGGAAGTAAATTATTCAGTCGAGATAAAAGTAATGGAGGTAATGATAAAACCTTAATGGATAATAAATGTTAATTCAAGTTTCAGCATGCCATTTGCGAGCATTAAAACGTCTTGTTGGTTATTTCAATGCCCATTCCGGTAATTGATTATAATATGGTCTATGACATGGAATATGCGTGACACAGAATTGAGATCCATCGAGGAAAATATAGTACCTACGATTTCTTCATTGTATCGAATCATGAACATTCATTTATATATTTGTCTATGTTCATTTACGTATCTGAATTCGAGGAATGATGAAGATGTACTTTTTATTCCCCTGAATATACTGATATTAGGTACAGTATATATAAAACTCTATAACTTCAAATCTAAACCTAGAGTACATCATTCTGAATACCCATCAGTTAGAATTTGGAAAACATTCACTATATCTAATCCAGGATTCATCATAATAAGTTCACTGAACTAGAAATTCGTTTCCTCTAGAAAAAGCGTATTACGAAATTAATGGACAATAGAGAAAACCATCATTGTCTTATTATTGCTCTTTTGACATAATATTTCATTCTATTTTAGATAGACAAGACACCCACAGGATTTACCGTCAAAGACGGACAAAACAAGATACCGAGAAAAACCGTCCTATCTTCAGACCACTGGCTCAGTTAACCAGGATGAAACTATCTAAAACTGATGTTCCAGCTCTTGTTACAGCTCAGACAGGGTCTACTGCAATATTGCATTGCGATACATCCAGACTGAACGATTCCATGGAAAATGTAACAGTAAGAAGTTCATACTAACTCCTCGTTCAAGATGTTCAAATGACTCAACAGTCCAAATATATATAACAAAAAAAAATTGTCCTTATTCTCCAGGCAACAATATTGGTGAATGATTATATATGACGATGTGGAGTGCACCAGTTTGTTAAAACTCAGTCAGTAACGCCACATCAATTAGTGACGTCACTTCAACTTCAAAAGACGTGTTGATCATAAAACATCAATATGACGCATATTCAGTAAATTTGTCAATAAGTTGCTATTAGATATTGATATACGATTCTACATACACTCATAATTATTATATGCCCCATATATAGTATATTATGTCATATTGTCGAATAATTCGAAATTGATTATTTCAAATTTTTTGGGATTTTCTCTCCTCGTTTCTATAAAATGAGAATATGAATATCATGCAATACGTGTAGTGAGGACAAATCAGATGATTTGCCCCAAAATGTCACTGCGTTTAAAGAAATTTCCTATCAGAGAGCTCAAAAGAAAAATTCTCCAGCTTGTCAGTGAAAATTTGTATTGAAAAGAATTTTGAGAAAAAAAATAAAGGTATATAGCAAAAACATCAAATTTTCACTTATCTTTAGACGTTTCGGGACCAAATCTGCTCCCGTTCTCAACATAAGAAATGATTATTTTGATAGCAAAGTCGTATCTGTCTTGAAGCTATTCAGTTTTCATTGACAACTGGTGACGTTGGCAATCAAATGAGTTACAGAATGTTTCCATTAATTAATCTTGAATTAACCAATTTTATGTTGAGATTTTGGTAGTGAATACCATGTTCTGTCTATATCAACTGAATAAGAAGCAATGCTATTGTCTACGTTCAGAAGAATGCAAGCATATTCCTTGATTTCTCCCTTCTGGTTGTTATCTCCTTTTCGATGATTTTAATATTAATCCACTCTGCCATATGTTGTCTGTCCTATCTTTACTGAAGGATATGTTCAGCTAGATTCGTTTTATCGATTTGTCTTTTCTTCATATTGTACTTATGTTCCTTCGTCCTTACTGAAAGAGGTCTCTTGGTTTCAGTTAGGACGAAGGAACATAAGTACAATATGAAGAAAAGACACATCGATGAATCGAAACTAGCTGAACATATCCTTACTGAAGACGGACAACATATGGCAGAGTGGAATAATATTAAAATCATTGAAAAAGAAGATAAAAACCAGAAGTGAAGAGTCAAGGAATCTGCTTGCATTCTTCTGAACGGAGACAATAGCATTGCTCAATTCCAAATCCGCCAGAACTAAAGAAGTTTCTATCTTCTGGAGATGGTAGCATAGTCAGCGAAACATTTGCCGTGGCGTTAAAGCATCGTTCCAATTTTTTTCTGCACATTATCGATGTCAATATTAGTGTCATCTGTTAGGAACTATCAGAACAGTATAATATCTCAGAGTGTTGATTATATCGAATCAAAACTGATAGCATGAGACCTGGGACCTGTTATATAATATCGCAGGTAGATTCCTACTTTCCCATTGCATTTTGAACAGTGGAGCAGACGATCGACTTTTTTCATTCCACATTCGAGGTTGAAATCAATATCACCAAAATCAATATGACCAAAGATTGATTATTTGAAAGGAAGAAATCTGTATTAATTTCTCCGTTCGGGTCTGGTGAGGGTAACAGAGAGCAGCATTACCGACGAGATCAATATCGTGATGAATCAAACTCCTAGAGTTTTCCACACTCAGAACCGGAAGTTTAAGTTACAGAATAAACATACCATAGCATATGCAATTATATTTAATACGTTCACATCAAATTGAAATCTAATATATTTGAAAATATCAGATTCATATAAGTATTTTTTATCAGAATTTTTTTTTTGCGATATTGATGTTCCTTACAGGGCACATGAACTTTTTCACTGTTCAAATTCCGTACGAACAAATAGAGGGCACCACATAACATCATTTCGATATCAATATCTGATATTTTCAAATCAAGTGCTGGGTGACACCGTGAATTCCCAGAGGAATTTGAAATTATCACGAAATTGATTCAGTAAAAAATCGTAGTTTGTTAGTATCAGCATAGTGTTGATTTCCAGAAATATATATCCAATATCTAGTGGAATATGTTATCACAATGATAACAAAAGTTTCGACAGTGAAAGAAATCTCCTCAATAAATATATCTTATGCAATGAGAAGTAGAATCAACTAGGGTCCCTTGATGGAAATTGACGTTAAAGTCATCTTAACAGGGTACGGACAGATCATAGCTGCATTCTTTTTTAATGATCTAGAGACTTTAGTTTTGTCTACTGGTATCCCTGACATTGCTGTCATGTCACATCCATGGGCGCTACTGAAAATCATTCTAAATTTTAATAATAGGTATGTACAGGGTATTTACTTGTTGAGGAATATCATATGGCGAACGAATTCAAAATTGGAAGGTATCTGGGGTTTTCCGGGGTTTGAGATAATGATTGTTTCGTCATACTTGCAAAATTCAAGATTACGGATCCAATATATACCGAAAGAAATTTCTAATTATGATCTGATTCCATTTAAGATTGGTATCTGGGGGTTTTCGAACTTTGATTTTTTGTCAAAATTGGGAAATTCAAGATAGTGTATCCAATATGGCGAACGAATTTTGTAATTATAATCCGATTCTATTCAAAAATCAAAATTGGCATATTGGGATTTCGTTGGTCGGAGATCATAATTATCTCGTCTTTCGTTACTTTCATCAATAAATTATTCGAAAATGACTTGTTATTCAAGGGAGACGGAAAAATCAGGTAAGGTATATTCTATTCTTTATTCTCCTACACATTTTACTTTTTATTAGCCTATATACTTTTCGTCCTAGACGAAGTTTTATACATAGTGTGATATTAGTTACTCCATAGATTCTTCTCAGAGTTGGATTTCCGAAAATATATTTAGCACACATGACATGAGTACATTAGTTTAGATACCTACATCGAGGTTTCCACCATTTCTCAATCATAATAATAAGGCTATCTGCTCATTTCACTCATAGATAAACTACTGCTCAGCTTGAAATCAGAATTCATTCAGTCAATTCAGTCAAACCTGGTATACAGTCTGAGAACAGTCTGTTTTGGTGAAATATATTAAGCTTTCGGTACAATTTATATGTTCCCTACCTCGCAAAAATTATGCTGGAGTGGTAAACCCTTAAACTAGAGGATTGTTCATCTATATCTTGGAATAGTTGAATCAGGAATTCCATATGGAAATTACGTATGATACGCCAGTGACCTCAATATAATCTAAAAAGCAACGAATGCCAAAAATCTAGTGTTTATCCCCAGAATTGAATAAGGATGGATCTATATAACTGTTTCACAAACACTTTAGAGTGAGAGGAGACGAGGATCTGTCCGTACCCTGTTAAGATGACTTTAACGTCAATTTCCATCAAGGGACCCTAGAATCAACGTGATACATGACTATAAATACGGACATATGATTGTATCCCTGGTATGGAGAGATTCTTATGGATCCCATTTGTCACTTATTCACTGAATTTCATTAGCCGACTCTTTCTGAACCCTGAAGTGACATATACGTCATCTGAAAGCCAGATTTGGTTCTGATATATTTGAAAAGTTCATTACAATGAAGTTGATCTGTTATAGAATATGTTATTTCAGGACAGATAATAGGAAGACTCATGATTTGATGTGAGGTAATTCCATTGCTTGTCGGTTTTAGAAATTTCACATTTTATTATAACCAAATGGTTCGAGAGCAACAAGATAAGTGAATTATATAGAATTGTTATTTCAGTCAGAGATACCTATGCCTACCTAATTAGATACCCACGTATAAGGACCAGAAACCTATTGGTGCGATATTGATGTTCTCTCCAGAGCTCGAAAATTTCCCTACCTGCCTAACAAGAATGTATTGATATGCTCCTCTGATAATGCTAGATATAATCAATATTCAAAAAGTTTCCTAGAATTTTACCAAACTAGTTGAATTCAGTACAAGTCAACAGATGGCGCCACATCATTTTGATATCAATATCTGTTCGGTATAGCCTCCAAAACAAGTTGAATTTTCGAGGGATATCAAATTTTGTATCAGTATCAGCATGGTGTTGAATTCCAGAAATATCTATTCAATATCCGGTGGAATCTGGTTCACATCCAATTCAAATTCAACTCAACTGAAATCCAGGTAATCGATACTCAAGAAATCTATATCTACATGCATTTAATTCATCAGACTTCTATATTTTTTATCAGAATATATCGTATTCTGAATCAGTACCGGTTGGAAACTGAATAGTGAGACCGTTACCCACGTGAAAACTAGAAACCCACCCATTGGTGCGATATTGATGTTCTTTTCAGGGCACATGAATTCCTTCACCAGACGAACGAAAATGTAATCATCAATATTCAAGAAGTTCCCTAGAATTTCACCATAAGGGTTGTATTCAGTACAAGAAAATAGATGACGCCACATGCATAACATCATTTCGGTTTTAGCTTCCCAAACTGATATTTTCAAATCTATTGGGTGACAAGGTGAATTTTCGAAAAAATCGAAATACTCACGAAATTAGTTCAGTTTGTTGGTATCAGCATAGTGTTGATTTCGAGAAATGTCTATCCAATATCCGGTGGAATATAAATGATATCAAGAATTTTGGCATCGAAGGAATTCTCATCAATAAATATATCCTATGCAATGAGAGGTACTGTCACGTGATCCGTACCTGTAAGTACGGACATGATTGTGGCTCTGGTATAGGGACAGTTCCAAGTGTCCCAGTGATCCCACCACTTGTCACTTCAATTCAATAAGCCGACCATGGCAAAGAGAATAATGTTATGAAAACAATGGATTGAAATTAGAAGTAGACTGAGGAAGGTTCGTCTTTGATTTAACTAGTTGATGGATGCCCATCAGGGTCAGAGAAGCTTACCAATTCACTAGTCGGTGTGACTCTTCCAGAACCCAGAAGTGGCATGTACTCACGTCATCTGAGAGTCAGAATGGGTACTGATATATTTGGAGAATTTCCTACAATGAAGTTGATCTGTTATGGAATATGTTCCACTAATGATATAAGGAAGACTTAGGATTTGATGTGAGGACAATTCATTGCATGCTTGTTGTTAAAAATTTTGCGTTTTTTTGTAGATCAAATGGTTCAAGAGGAACAAGATTAGCAGGGACATTTTGACACTGATGGAAGAAACAGTAAATGATGACAAAAGGTTCTTGGCAATAAACGAATATAATATGAAGGTGAGGAACTGAAATGAGATATGTATGTTATATTTAATGAATCCAAACTGCACAAAAACCAGAGTTAAAGGATTATCAGAACAGTTTTTATAGTGAACTTTGTCTGTCAGAAGTCGATCCATACTAGTGGACTTTGATTCATCAATTCTACAAAATATTTCCCATAATTATGTTTGGCACGTAGTCTTCTATTAAGCTCGATCGCTCTACTCAATTCCTATTATTATCAGTTCCATAAATTCCCTTGATTACCAAGGTGGTTTCTTGTGATATTTTGTGAATAGAACACATCTCAATATGAAAGTTACATCTCATTAGCACAACTGACTCTCATTTAAGTTTTATAGCTGTTCAATCTGAGGGTTCGTATGCCACAAAACTCCAAACGCAAAACAAATAACTTACAGGAGCAACTTATCGATAGGCCCAACTTAAACTGTTAATTAGGATTATAGCATCATTATACCAGATCCATTCACGAACTCTCAACGGATTTTAGTGCTTCGCACGCGGTTAACAGTGCCTTTTTTGTCGGCAATGTAGTGAGCATTATTGGTGGGATCTGAAGTACATTGTCTTTTTGCTCAATGCAGAATGCTCATTTTGTGCCCCTTATTGAAACAACAGCTGTTGTCTTGGATAAACTTGGCAATTTCCTGAGATGGGTGGAATAACCAGATAACCAAGGATTTTTCTGAGACTTTTATACAGGGTTTCTCTGAAACGTCTGAACAAAATCTTGCCACATATTTCTGAGGTCAAAATGAGCCTATTTGAAGAAACGCACCCCAATCTGGACTTGTTTCGTTTCCGAGATACAGAGTGGTTTAGTATATATTTCGAATTTTTCGAAATTCATGAACATTTTTGAACGCATTACTTAACAAATTGACATTTGGATTTTTTTTCGAGATAGAAATGATTCTCTGGTGAGTTTTCCATGAGTCATCAAGCTGAAGTAGATTTTATACTTTTTGTTTGGCGCAATATCGACTGAAATTTGTTAGATCTTACCGGTGATCTATACTATATTATACTATTTCATGTTTCTGGAGATTTTGACTTTTTTAATATAAAGATTTCATCTGTTTCTCCACATCCCTGTGTGAAATGTTATTGAAACAATATACAGGGTGTCTGTTAATGAGCCTGCACAACTCCACCAGCATGGCATCGACTTAGGCGAAAAATAGGAAGACAAGTTACAATAAACATGAGTCGGAAAACATGGGGGGGGGCTCCAGAATATGATGAATCCTTTATATTCTCGAAACTCGATGTGATGGAATGATGCAATCTGGCTCAAGAACTGAACTTCCTATTCAGAAAACAGGAGCCCCTTTTGAGGAAGGAAATTTTCATCCTATATCTTTCATCGAAGCAGTCGCTGGTGGAGTTTGAATTGCTGATTATGGGACACCCGGTATATAGTTTTGAAAAGAGGCATTTCCCGGTTTGCCTGTTCAAGTTGGTTCAAGCATTCTCAACGACTTGAGAAAGCATATCTCATTGACATTCGACGTGATGGACAATTTTCCTTCTGATCTTCTGATCAGAAAATTGCAAGGTGTTATACAGTGTGTTCCACTTCCCATGGAAGTACCCTCAGTTCCTCATCTCTCATTAAAATTCGAGTAAAATTCTGAAATTGGCAAGGACGAGAGATCAAGATCCACTTTTTCTAGTATGGTCATCTTCAGTGCTATATACTGCTCGTCAGCATCCACGACATTTCCGGAAGAAGACATTATAATGCAAATTAGGTTGGAAATATCTCCGGATCGAGAATTGCAATAGCATATTCAATATTGTTGTTTTTTTTGGATGAACACTGTATATCATCCATGATTATGAAATGATATATCCATTCCTGCATATTCTGCAGAAGCGTTTCTGGAAGAAGTTGCTGGAGAAAAATTTGAATTCTCCGAGCTCAACATTTTTTAGAAGTAGTTGAACAGGTCAATGATCGTTTCTCTCTCAGAATGCTTCCTGCTTTGTTGGGATGAAACTTTGTGATATTACCTTCACAGGTTTGTAGTGGAAAACATAGATCCTTTCATTAACATTTGTGAGAAACAAAATTGCCGTCATTAACGTGGGATCGCATTGAAGTGTGTCGATGATAATTTTTCCATGAGTGATCTGATCACAATCAACACAATAATCAATAGCGAGTAGAGTGAGCTCTATTTTTTTGTGAGAAACGTCCGAATCGATTCACAAACAAGGTGACATAGACTCTTATTGGTATAACCTCTTTTTTTTTTCATTTATATTTCTGGAATTCGGAATATCGAAGATCCTTACTAGAAGGCTCTATCTCACATTATAAAATTATTCTGTCATGTTCCGGTTTTCCTGAAAATGACATCAACTTCCGATTTTCAAATGGAACACCCTGTATTCCATTGAATAATCGGTAAGGAATTATTGTAACGAAGTGAAAGATACCAGAGTTTGATGAGGTTATTTCAAACGACTACGAAGATATTCGTGTTCGAAGTATCCATATCCTCGAAGAGTGACGGCGCAATAAGGAGACTTCAAAGGCGAAAATATTCGAAATCGGTTGACAGAACCCAATTATTCAAACCCGTTATCTTCGAATTCATCATCAGAATCCCTTGATAATAATGGAATAGAATACAGGGTGATCAATATGACAATCTAATATTATTTTAATTTCTAAGAAATTCAAAAAATCCTGGAATGTGAGAAAAAGCTCTCTACCCAGCGGGCACAAACATCCCTGGGATGTTTTGGGATGTTTTGAAAATGTTGGCATGGAGATGTTATTGTGAGACGTGATATGCACTGACCAAAGAGGTCTTTGAAGGATATTGAGGTATTGTTTTTGTTCTCCTGTGGCATTCCTTTGTTTGCCTTTTGAGAGGTATCCCTGGGACGAGCCCTGGGATGTTTTGGGATGTTTTAGAAATGTAGGCACGAGGATGTTTTTCTGAGGCGTGATATGCACTTCCCAAAGAGGTCTTAGAAGGATATTGAGAGTATTATTTTTGTTTTTTTGTGCTCCACTACAACGTCTCATGCTTACGTCACAATACTATGAATTCTGATTTGTTTTCGATTTTGTTCTTCTTGTTCGCAATTGGCATTCGCGTTTGCAGCGTGTCACGTTCACACCACGCTGCTAACGAACAGAAAAGAATTTGGTGAAGTTTATTGTGTTAGAAGACTTATTTATTTTGTAATAATGACCATCAGATGCAAGATGTGTTGTTCGGTGCCTCACTGTAATCAATATATAAAAGTTCGAATTTATCAATACACATCAGCTTCTCGGCAGTTGCAAAATTTTGCATTGTGGAGAACATTTCAAAAATTGGGAAACCTATTTCCAATTATATGTCTGTGTGACTCAGAAACCGATTAAGAAGGTAATTTCATATCAAGAAAATATTTTTATGTTCAATCTATTTTTAATGCATTTTTTCATTCAAGGAAAATGGAATCCTCATGCAGAAGTTCATTTTGACAAAAGGCTTCAGAAAAGTACCTCGAAAATGGTTTTTTACAGCGATTTAATGTGCGCAAGACGCGTTGAAAATTTTTTGTTGTGTCCGTGAAAAGGCTTTAAAAAGAACTAGGGAGAAGGTAGTTTTGTGACATATCAAGGACATCTCGATAATTGCCGCCTACGGCGGACATTGGCTGTTCTATAATAGTTCTATTCATGTGTGAACAGAACATCGCAGTGGAGGTTCAATGTCTCGAAATCTCGTACTTTTAACATCTCTGAGATGTTTTTGTGCTCGCTGGGTAGTAAGCAAACTCGATGTTTCAAATTTCAGAGATATAGCTTGGAAAACAAAGGAGAGAAGGGGGTATGACATGAGTCTGTACCCGTTATAGGTACGGCAGCTACAATAACAACTGTTAAAAATCGCACATAATTCTCTCGAGTGTCCCGTTTCTGGTTTTGACCACTTTATATTCGTTATACGTACTCTCAAACTTTTTCCAACGGACAAAGCTTCAGTATCGCGTGTCAGGAAACTCATGTCCAGCAACTTATATTAAATTCTAGCGATACCTAACTTCACATATCCTACGAACTTTTTCCGGATGGATGCTCCAGATTCTCATTATCATTCTAGCCAGTCCCCACGTATGATTATAACTCCAGAAAGGGTTTTTTGAGCTCCTAAACGAAAAGGTCACGACTCATACAAATGCTCATACTTAAGCCCAGTCTAGCGCACATTATAAAGTTATAATAGTCAGGGTGATAAAACTAAACACTAATATAAAATTATAGCATCAATGGGAGAATCCTTCTTTCAGCGTATATTTTCCTATGATACAGGATTACTGGTGATTGGATACATTCTATTGGAGATGTGGTAGGGAAGGTGATAAGTAATAAATTTAACCCTGATATGCATTATGCAAATGTTAATAATTCTTGGAATATTGTATTTTTCCTGTTTCTCTTCAAAACGTAGACTTTATAGGGGTTCAAAAGTTAGTTTTTCGAAAATTTACTGCCGTTTTTTCAAGCTATTAACTAGAATACATGATGGTTTTATGTTTGAAATGATAAAATTCCAGAAATAATTCTGATCATAGATAAATTGTAAATGAAGTATTTTTATTTGTGAATTGTGATACTTTCTAACAGTTATTTTTAGGAAAATCTATAAGCCACCTATGTCAAAAATGTGTTAAAACTTTCTCATGGCAAGAGCTAATAGTAATATATATATAACTAACTGGGTACAAATGAAACTGGAAGTTCCCGATACGGTTAGTTCTATCACTGGATAGTATTAGTTACATGATCTATCTAACTGATACCATCCAGTAACTCTAGTTATTTTAAATGGATAGTACAAACGTTATTGAAAAATTTTCACCAGAAGGTATTTACTTCCCACAAATCCTGTTCAAAGTGAGATTCTCTATTACGAATACTCGCTCATTTCCGTATTCATTATTCTAGTTCTCAGATTATCTTGTATATTCTGAGTTGCGTCTGTTATTTTTTGTATGAGGGCTTCCTGGGTATCTACTGGGGTTTCATAGCCTAGCGCTTCCATGTAACCCCACATTTGATAATCAAGAGGGATTAGGTCGGGGCTTCGCGCTGGCCAACCTATTGGACCTTACCTTCCAGTTCAACGGTTAGGAAAACGTTCATCCAGGAACTGTCGAACGATCAGCCCATAATGCGCTGGACAACCGTCTTGTTGAAATATGATTCGTCCTCTGATGGCGAGAAGCTGCTATAGATCATGCCGTAGAAAATGTTCATTCCTCGCCCCGTTTAAATTGGCTAGGAAAGAATGTGGTCCTATCAAATAACGGTCACAATTCCATAAAACTTCAGTTAGAAACTAGTTTCCCTTGTTGAACGGGGATTTTCTTCGACATAATAATGAAGGTTATGATAAGTTGTAAGGCTATTTGAATGCCTCGAGCAAATAAACGATAATAGTTAACAAGTTGTTGCTGTATCTCCAAAAATAAATACTGATGGGCATTTTTCAAGTATGTTTTTCATTATTCGTTTGAAATAACAAATCCGTATGGAGCACTTCAAGTTTCATTTGTACCCCAGTTAGATCCTTAAGAAAGTTTAAAGAAACATTTGAAAGATGTGGATCAGAGATTCTTCTAAAAATGAAAGCCAAAAAGTATTTCAATTTACCTATGATCTAAAATATTTCTGAAATTGTTTCATTTCATACATAAGAGCGCATAGGTTGATCATGTATTCTAGTTGAAAGGTTGAAAAAATGTACAGCAGATTTTCGGGAAATTAACTTCTCAACCCTCAAAGTCTACCTCTTGAAGAAACAGAAGAAATTGAATATCTCAAAAACAACTAACTTTTTTGCATAATGCATATTAGGGTCTCTTCTTATCACCTCCTATATCAAATCTACAAAGGAATGTATCGAATTACCAGTAAACCTGTATGAAATGTCACATGAGAGCAATGCAATATTATCGAAAAATGACATCACTAAATCAGTAATTGCACTGCAGAGCGAAGATTGCACTGGAAGACATCCCGTAACCATAACAACATATTTAAAAAAGTGTCGCTAGACACCAGTGAACAATCCAAGTAAATGTCAAATAGACTTCAAAAAGTGGATAAAAATTTTGCAATTTGGTGAGTGCTCCATTCCAAAAAAAAAAAAAAAATTCTTCGAGAATTTCTTTATTCGTGTAATATTCCAATGAATCATATTTGTGCATAACAATGACCAGATCATTTTGCATTCAAACGAGTCATCTTATATAGATAACATTCGGATATTCACTTATTTTGTGAAATTGTGAAAATGAGCTCTTGTAATTTTCAGATAACACGCTTTCTTGCAAAATTATCGGTAATTTTCATGCACTCGTGCAATCATAACCGACAATTCGATGCTGTGAATGATAAAATCCTACTGTTTTCTTGTTATGATCCATCATTCGGTTGCCCTATTACGAGCAACCCTCAGAAGTCTTCAAGAGTCTTGTGCGAGCAAACAATCACAGGGGTCTCACCTTTTAACCTATGATCTCAAACACTTAACTGTATATAAAAAGATTGAGCATGTACTGTGAATTGAAATGTGAACGAATCGAAATGTGGGTGATTCGAAATTTGAACGGATAAAAAAACCGAGGATGAAATCAATATTCAAAGAGGAAATGCGGCAGCAGCAGTCGACAAGTACGTGTTTTTAGGAAATAAATCGTTTCACCATTACTCAACGCCTTAAAATGTGCCAAAGTGAGCCGTATAACAAGCTCAAAGCTACCAACGGTTATATAAAATTCCTGGTCTATGTCCTATGTCAGGGCCTATTCAGGAAATCAAGGAGGAGATAGTTTCACTCGACTTTACTGAAACGAGTCAGTTGGTTTCGGTTTTGGCTTGAACCTTCTCGACTAAAACTGCAATTCGAGTGACTACTACTATTTGAACTGAATATGGGACCCATTTGGAAGTTCACAGTAACTGTAATCTGGTTAATCTCATACCTAACATCCGCATTATCATTCTAGGACTGGAGCCTACACATAAGATACACCCAACCCAAAGACGAGGGCCTGTATCAGTGCCAAATCTGTACGAATTTCACATCTGATAGTTGCAACAATGTGAACATTACCCTGAAGTTGGAGGGTAAGTGTATGCTCTGTATCCACCATCGTCGTTGAATATTATTATTTTGTTTCGTTCGGCGTAGCGATATGGAAATGAAACAAACAAGATAACATGATTTTCCTGGAAGCAGAAATCATTCTCTAGGGGATAAAGGTGAAATATTCAATCACACAGAAAAAAAATTTTGTTTGAAACTACAAAATGTTTGTGAATTCTACAAAATCTGAGTGTCATATATCCACGACAAAATATTTTGTCACCGCAACAAATGTTTTTTTGTCAGTTTTCAATTCAAAATTCATTCGATGTAATAAGTCAATAATGATTCAAATTAACACCAGGAATTGGTTCAATAAACAATGACTATTTTGTTCCTTTAATACAATATCTGTTTTTATGAACGATTCAGTTGATTGAAATAATTATATAATTTCATTCAAGTGACAAAATTTTCCGTTTTTCAGATAGTGCGAATAACAAAATATATTGTTCGATCAACCAAATTGTATTTAGAATTGACAAAATATTATGCTGAATATTATTTCAACAAACTGATAACTGAATTTCAAAACTAAGAGGAATTAGAGATCAATTTCCTCAGTGGATTCAAGGCTATTAGCTTGTATAGGCGTCATAAGAAATACTAGGACAGCCTAATGTAATTATATAAACGGATGTTTCAGGTAGATATATGTGCACCCCAATCGAGGCGAGCGTAGGAAGGTTGGAAGAAACGCCACCTGGTGGCAAAAATGCAGCTACATAATCATTCAACAAAATATTTGTTTGATATAATATATTTGTGGATTCTGTTCAAAAAAGTAATTTGTTTGAAATAGAAACATATTTCTTGATAGTGATGTGTTGAATCAACAGAATATAATGTTGTCATAATCAATTCAATTTTGTCGAATAGAAAAAAGCCTTCGATTGGTTGCACAATGAAATGATTGTTGACTCAACAAAATATAATGTTGTATTCAGTTAAATCTTTGTCAAAATCAATTAAATATTGTCGAATAGACAAAATGCATTTAATTGATTGAACAATGAGATTATAGTTGGACCAACAAAATTTGTTTCATGTCAACTATGAATATTGTTGAATAAAATGAAACTTTCATTCAAGAAAGCAAATATTTCAATCAAATTATTTTGTCTCTTTGAATAGGTTGCTTATTCGAAATGAACATATATTTTTTTGATTCCGCAAAATTGTGTTTAATTTAACGAAAAGAAGATGACCAAAATTATTTTGTTGGTGCAACAAAATTTTTTTTTCCGTGTACAGTTGATGAATTACCTATACATTATTGGATACAATGTACATGTCATGCATATGTACATGTACAACAATATGATTTATTTCAATGAATCACTATACTGAGTCATCTGTAGAAAGGTAAACACAGCCTGAATAACATTTCAGTGAAGATAATTTAGTCTGAACAGAACAAAATATAATAGTACGAACATGTCAACATGAAGTGAAAGACAGAGTCGAGAGCAAAGTGAAGACTATGATGAATATACTCCTATTCTTTAATGAGTTGTATTTTTTGTGAATACCAAGAATTTTAATGTTATTTTCCCAGTGAATATTCATATAAATGTATCCAAAGATTGAAATAAAAAATTATTATTCATTATCAAAGGGCCAGAATCTAGTTGAAATGGCAAAGAAATCTCCAGCAATCTAAAGTTTTCTGCTAGTTTATTCATTATTCAAAATCTTTCACATTGTATGGTAATCATAAAAATTTTAAATCGAATTATCTCAGGCCTACGATTTCGTTGATGTTCTAGTGTTGCTCTGAGGCAACGATATACAGGGTGTTAGTGAATAAGTGCGACAAACTTCAGGGAGTGATTCAATATTGTCTATCACTGTTCACGGCCTCTGGCTGCTTCCAGAGTGGTCTGCTAGCTGTGAAGCTTCGAGGGGTTTGAGAACAACGTTGTTCCCTTCATGGTATATCTTTCTTGTACTTATTGAAAGATACGTCAGGCCTCTGAATGTTTGTACCGGGTTATAGTTTTTGTGTTGATCAAACTGAAGGGCATTGGTTTGTTGGCATTCTTGTTTCCATTGCAGTTTCATCGCAACTATTCCTTGAATGCAGAAATGTTGTGAATTTTCCACTCCTCGTCATTAGGTGTTCCTCGAGGCATATAGCCTACAGAAATCCAAGAAGAACACCATTTCCTCCTCTTTTTTCCTTGGTTCTCACGATGTTCTCTGAACATTACATGATATTCCTTTTCGTGAGAGCCAAAAGATAAAAAAAAAAATACTCGTGAGGCGTTGAGGGGGTTGTTCGGATATGAACAGTGATTCCTTCATCAGGGTTTCTCTTTTGCTTTACCAGTGCCTTAACGTATTGCTGGTGTGATCTCAGTGAACATGTCAAATCAATAAATATTTCATTATCTGGTTTTGATTATAATTTTGGAATAATTACTCATTTGTGATGATACTCTGATACTATAACGAGTTGTGTTTCTTGTGGATACCAAGGATCTTATTGTTATTTTTCCAGTAAATATTCATGAATATGTATCGAAAAATTGATCTGGAGAATGATTCATTACCAAAGGGCCAGTACCTAGTTGTGATGGCGAAGAAATTTCTAGCAATCTTAATTTTTTTACTATTCATTCATTATTTCATGTGATAGTGTTTTATTCACCCAATGTATTCGAATTGAATCAATAAAGAGTGTTTAACAAAATGAAAGAACTGTCCCCTGCAGGATGAAATCCTAACCAAAATGCGGATAATTCAAAATAATTACTAAGTTGACTGTTAAAAAAAAATCAAAATTCTCTTCGATATGCTGCAAAATGTCACACAGCTCAATAGCAGCAGTAGGACTAGTCGATATTATTTTTTTCCAGAAGCATTTCAAATCGAATTATCTCAGAACCACGATTCCCTTGATATTCTAGTGTTGCTCTGAGGCGTTGATATATTTCTGTTGATTCCGCAAACCTTTTTTTTCAATTTGACAAATCAAAATTGACCAAAATAACTTTGTTGGTGCAAATAATCTTTTTTTTCTGTGTATGGTGATGTTTTTGTGGTTTAACGTTCCAGAAGCATATGCCAAAATCATCGATGGCCCCATCAAAATCATCCCAGCAGACAAAGAGCTGCCGCTCCGCCTCAGCTGCGTGCTCATCAACTCAATCGAGGCTCCGGAGTACATCTTCTGGTATCATGACGATAGGATGATAAACTACGACCTGGAAGATGGCGCCACTGTCAGGGAGGGCAGACAAGGCAGCGAGTTGATATTTCCCAAAGCCAATGAGACGCACACTGGGAACTACTCTTGTGTTCCGTCCAATGCCCAATTGGATAGTGTGATGGTTTATTACGGAGGTTGGTGTTATCGAATAGAATTATTCAAACAAAATGAGTAGGACACATATATTGGGACAATATCGGCAATACCATTATTGAGGATTTGCCCAAAATCTGTTTCGCTGTCGAAATACTCCAAAGGCACTAGAAATTTCATGAAATGCTCTCAAACGGTTGGTTGAAGCAGACAGTACGTTATCAATATTGGAAATAATGGATTTTCATCAAAGTCGTCGAGTGTATTAGAGAGCCGCTGAAATGGTCGTACTTTGTATATCGCTTGATTCGTCCCTATGTTTATTGCTGATAGTATTCTTCACAGTCGTGTACAGATCTGTTGCAAGGCCGGACAAGCATTGGAGCTTCGGGGCCCCCCAATTCGCAGGGCCCGTAGCATTTGCTACACTTGCTACGTGGCTAATACGGCACTGAACATCGGTGCAATATTACGGATATATCGGCAAAATATTATGAATGTGATATTGGCGAAAAATAAAATGTGAACGTTTGGCTATATTTGTACAGAATTAGATTCAAAATGTGGGTAAAATATTGTGAATCAGCATGTTGCAATGTTGTCTTAGGAACATTGGTGGAATATTCTCACACCAATTGATTGAAAAGTTTACTACATATTGGTCAAACAGGTCGCAAATTCCGAACTAGAGTATCGGAATGAAATCGTATCATACGCTGGGGACTATGTTTTGATCAAGAATAAGAGTTTGGAATTGAAAGAAGACGTTATTCAGAGAGATGTTAAATGTCTCAGATACGTTGCGGAAATAGGCTTTTATGCCTCTTTTTAATATAACAATGTTATGTTAATGGAAATATCATAAAAATATATCAGGAATCACATAAAAGCAATGTTACTTCATAACATATGATGAATGTAACTCAAAACATTCAAACAATATTGTATACTAACAATTATTCTAATTAGTTTCTAGGAGTTTTCAGGTTATGTCTATTCTGTCTAGAATCATCAAGAGAATCATCTGAATGATCTAGTTACACAGTGATATTTTGGGACAGATCAACTAGTATCTTTCTAAGTATCATTTTATTCATTCTGCTTCATAAATTCAGTCATACCTAGCATAACTATATGATTTCTGCATAATCCAGTGATCCCTCACTGAAATTCTGAAAAGCAATAGGTAAATATATACCTACACGAGTTTTTGGAAGTTTCCTGACATATTTGGAAATTCTATCATATGTTTTTCTTCTAGCTATGATATTTAACATAACCATTATTCTTGTAATTCGTGAAATATGAACACAATCCTTATTAACGAATCCCTTCTACTCTTTCACATATTATGAAATGCAGATACATATTTGGTTGCATTTTTATATTCCAGCAGATCAAACCTGGAATCTGAGTAGTTATCATGAGCAATTCATATTTTCTTTCGAATTCATTTCAGTCCAAGAATTGTTCAGTTCTCAACTTACATTGATAACGACGAATAATATCTGAGAATCAATATTTTCAGTGATCATACTATTTGGCCTGTTCACCATAATAGACGACAAATATAATGGCTGGAATGAAATTGAATTCACTCTTGACAGTTGGCAAGCTTACTTTGCCGTAGAAAAAAACATATCATCCCCTTGTATCCTGTATACATGTGAGCTACGTTATAAGGTGGTGAAACGAAAACGTTGCACTAATAACATGAAAACTCTGTCTGAGATATATCTGATAAACCTCAAATCAAAATATCACAATATTATTTAATGATATTGATGTCGATATTGATGCAACGTCTCATGAACGTTTTACTTCATGATATTATGTTGGATACTTCAGATGGACATTATCGCAACGTTATTTCAACAATATCACAAAACTAATAACTGAAAAATATTTTTGTTATGTATCATATGTTTAGAGGGTGAAGGTATCATGGTCCTTGAATAAAAATGAACTTAAAAGGGCAGTTAATGAAAGTAACAGATTAGAGAAAGAGTAGTGAGCATTAATCCATCTTAACTCAACCATTAAATGAGGCAATTGTATATCATTCCCTACTGATGGAAGACCAAGACTTGAACTCAGAGCAGCAAATAGACCTAAGATTTTATGTGTTTTATTTTGTTTATTTTCAGAGAAGGGAGCTTTGACGCAAGATAAAAACGGCGGCGAGGGACGTGAAAAATTCGATCCGCATCATATCTTCAATATGCTGGTCCTCGTATCGGCCTTTCACCTCCGCAGATGACTTCACAAAGTGCAAACGTGACAACAATGCTGATGCCTGCCTTCTATTTAGTGATGGCCGAATGTAACGCAGGATGGCGCAAAAGTTGCCAGGGAAAGCTTTCTAAAGAGAGGAATTCCTAATGCGTTGTATTTATTTTCATTAGATGTGTTACGCTCAATAGTAGATTTTGGAGGATGCCCGAAAAATATCTAGTTCTGAGTAACGAATATTTCTTGAATCCAAAATTTCAACAGTATTATACGGAAAAAAAGGAATTGTTGAATCAAGCAAAATTTAATTGAATGGAGCAAATGAAAGTGTCATATATGCACGACAAAATATAATCTTGAAATGAGTAAATCTATATCTTGTTTCAGAGCGAATATGGAATTCGAATCCAGTAAATATGTCTTGCATGAACTCTGGATCTTCTTCAATCAAGAACATCCTTGAATTGTTTCTGAAGAGATATTATTGAATTGGCTCAAACAATCATTTTGTTTGATTCGGAATAACAAGAGATTGATTCAATCAAATATTAAGTTGATTCAATGAAATATTTGGTTGATTCAATGAAATATTTCGTTGATTCAATGAAATATTTGGTTAATTCCAATTCAAATTGATGTAAAATAAACAGAATATTTCAATGATATTACCTATTTCGTTGCTCTATTCAAGCAAATGATCCGTTCGAAACGAGTTCATTGCTACATCGGAATAAGAAAACTTGTATGTTGTTTCAAAGATATATCCTCATCAAAATGATCATTGTTTGATCAAATCAACGAAATGTTTATAGTTGGATCAACATCGACATTTTTTATCGCTTGGAGCTCACGAAAGGGAATCCATATAATGTTGATGGAATTGATATTATACTGTTGATTCAATTAGACCACAATCTTTATTTGAACAAGCTGCTTCCATGGAATAATCATGTATATGGTTGATTCAACAAAAAATAGCTCAACCCAACAAAAAAACGCAAGCATAAATAATTTGTTGATGCAACAAATCTTTTTTTCTCGTGTAGGTTATTGAGCATTACATAATAGGAAGAACTAGTTTTGAGCAATTTGAAATGTACAAAACTATACCTGTATATTCCTGAACAAGTTTTTTTTATCTCTAAGAGCGCACGAAAGGGAAATCCTATTATGTTCGTGGAAAATCGCGAGTACCTGGGGAGAACAGGAAGAGGCAAAGAATTCCAAAGCTTCGCAATTCTATAAACGAACAAGTTTTGTTAGAGTGTTGCTCGACATTTTTCAAGGTTAACGACGAAGGGATGTGCTGAATGAGTTCGTCTGACTGGTATTGCTAGAGATGGAATTATAACAGAGATTTCTGAGGAACATTTTCCGTGGAAGTATCTATAGAAAAGTGAAAGGTCGCTGATTTTCCTAGGGTGTTCTAATGGGGTCAAAGAGTTGTTGAGTGTGGCATCACCCACCAGGCGAATTGCTCTTCTCTGGATCAAATCTGAGAGCAGTAGCGTTTGAGTGCTGAACCCCATACACATATGAGAACAATGTTCAAGAACTGGCCGTATCTGTGCTTTGTGGACCATGAGAAGCTGTTGTGGTAAAGTAGATTTTCACACGGAACACGAAACCGAGTTTTTGTGAAGCAGCTTTTGCGATGGATCGAACAGGATATTCCCATGAGAGAGTATTGCTGATGGTATAATACCAAGCGTAGATATTGTGATCTTGGTGGGAATGGTGGTATATTAGGCATACTAAGTTCCGCCTTTCTAGAGAAAATACAGGTTTGCCTTTTGGTATGGCGTTGAGTTCAACTACGTTTTTGCGGTTGCCCAGGTAGTAATATCAGCATGATCTCGATTGACAGCATTGGCCTGCCTTCTTCACAAGTTCTCAATTTCCTGGGAATAAGAAATGGGAATTCTAGAAGTGAACGCAGTAAAGAGGGTACTATCGTCTGCAGAGCTATGGATAGGGCAAGTGGTTGCTCCCAATAGATCTGCTTGTTTTATTTAATCAGTGCGCAACGTCCAAATGAGATGAAGTTGTAAATGTTCTTCAAAAGACAAACCACAACAAATAGATATATTTCTCAGGAAGAAGGTTCAATATGGCCGAGTAAGGAGGCTGTAAGGCAAGCAGAACTAGTGCAGGTCATTCAGAAATGTACACGTTTTGTACATTTCAAATTGTTCAAAACTATTTCCACCTATTTCGGAATGCTCAATAACCGTTTTCGATAGAAATTTTGGGTTGAGGAAATATTCGTTGCTCAAAACTAGTTTTATCTATTTTTCTCGGGCATGGCCCGAAATAGACTATTGGGCATAACAGATACAAAATAGACAACGAAAAGGTACCTATAGTTTCTCATTCAACCCCTATGATGTTGTCTGAGTTGAAGCTATTTTTGATGCCATGTAGATCTTATATTAACTGAAAATTATAGTGGAGTCTGAGAAATGTCTTAGTGAAAGCACGATAATGATTCATTTTTCTTGATTCTTTGGGATTTTCTCTCCTTGTTTCTATATGATACAAGTATTCGTATTATTGATGAAGTTATGTTGAACCATTCTTGATGTCTTATTAGGACGTTTTAATCTGGTACCTCAGAGATTTATTCATACTCCCTTAATTATCGAAGGCTATTACATATACGCTGTCTTTCATATCATTATAGTTTTGAATTCCCATACATTGAATGATTGGGAGAGAATCCATTTTCTAAAGAAATCATCTTCTGCTTCTGATTGTTGATATTGAATAAAAACTGAACCTGCATTTCTACTTGACCACCTATATTACTTATTATATTATTATGTACTACTGAAATCAAGCCTCAATCTGAATAATGATTGGTTTTTCCTGTACTCGACATATAAAATTCTGGCTCGAATCTGAGAAGTTTTCATGAGTTTTCCCAACTCATCAACTAGTTTCAAATTTGAATGATTATTTTATGAAGCTAGTAGCGCAGCAATTTTCTTATCAGAATTCAATGAAGTACATCGCATGCTAATCATATTCTAACTTTGGAGTGAGTTCGAATACTACGAGTTACGTCTCCTGCTATCTTACCCAGAAAGATATAATTAGGAAAATTCATTCCTGATGGTGAAATAATATTGTGAATTACATGAGCTACAAAATCATAAAACTGAAGCGATATTTGATGAAACTGAATTCTAGAGAATGTATATTTGGGTATATAGGTTCCTATACTCTGATTGAGATTTATTTTTTCTTCGATTGGCAGCAAATATTAATTTTGCTGACACATATCAATCAGCAAAGTATTACTTTTCCTGCCTAGGCAGCAAAGTGAGTACTTTGCTGATTGAAATGTATCAGCAAAATTAATAATCCATAAGTCGTTTATAATTTCCTTCATATTTCATTCGAGACTTCTCCGGCAACAAATTCAGCTCTATATTTTTTGCCACCTCCCTTATTTCTGGAGGTGTAAGTACTTCCAGGTCGCTATCACTGTCCATTGTATAATAATTATATATACCGATATTTTTTTGCACAACTGTCAGAATTTTCATGAATTGTCGAACTATAATTATCATGGACAACTGCGATTTCTATCAAATTTCATTTTAATTGAACACTACAGGAAAAATAAAGAGATTGTGGGAATTGTAATAATTTGCAATTACAATATCGTCCTATATCATTATAATCGGAGAAAAAATTATATGTTCAACTCGGCAGCAAGGTAGATTGACTGCCTTAGCTGGATTCCTAGCCTCGCTACGCTCGGCTATGAATTCAGCCTCGGCAGTCAATCTACTACTTTGCTGCCTAGTTAAACAAATAACTATTTCACAGAATGTGACTCTGATTTTAGTTCGAAACGATATATCGTGAGTTCCTCCTCAACTACACATTTTCCAGTTGAATTTCAGAAAGCGTCATTTTAATTTCAGAAATTGTTATTTGTATCTCAGAATAGCCACTTGTATCTCAGGAAGTATCAATAGCATTTCATAATAGTCAATTGAATTTCAGAAAGTATCAAATGTATTCCAGAATGGTCAGTTGAAATTAAGGAAGCGTCCGAAGTATATCAACTTATATTTTCTAAAATACAAATGACTCAATCTGAAATCCAATTCACTATTCTGGAATACAATTGATGCTTTCTCGAATACAACTGACCATTCTGAAATACTATTGACGCTTTGATTGATTGATTGCCTTTATCACCCCAAGAAACATAGTTGTTCAAAGACATAAGTGAATATAATCATGCAATATCAATCTTATCTTCCATTAGTAGGTATTCAAATGAGAAATGGAATCATCAAAGTCTCTGAAGCAGATATTTTTTCAAGTCAATTTTCTAGTTGCTCCCTGTATATTTCTCAATTCACTTGGTGAAGTTATATAGAACGATTCATGTATGAAAAACGGATTTTGTGTCAATATTTGACTGATACGTATTTGCTATTAGTAAATTTGATTGTTTTGTTCCATGTTTACGTAATGAATTAATTCCATCGAAATCTAAATTCGACATTTTCAGAACGAATTGTATGAAACAAAACATTCTAAGTTTGTACAGTGATATCAAATCTAATAAATCTATGGGTTTGAATACATTCATATGGTTGGTTATAGAAAATTCAAAGTGAAAATACACTTCAATGTTTTATTTCGTGATTTCATTAGTGGACTCAAACGTGAAATTTTGAGAGAAATTAATAATGAAATTTCGAATTTTAAATGGAATAAAATACAACTGGAATGGGTGTAATAAGTTTTGGAGAAAGGAGTCATGTATCATAAGAAAACGAAATATCTGTATGGCTTTCATTCAAACAGCATATTAATTATGTACATTTTATTAAATAAATATTTTATACACTCACATGATAATTGAGTTTCAATTCAAAAAAGTAACAATGATAATCAACAATTGGAAGAAACATATCAACATCACAAATAAAAACAATGGTTCGAATTCACCTATGAATAACTATAATATACTTTCAAATATAATGATTCCCAAAATGACATGATATACATGGATGATTTAATATTTATTTCTACTAATCTATCATGGTGAACGCAATGTATCCATACAAGAAATTCAGAGTATACAGAGTGTTTCACTACTGATCGAGAATATTTCAACTGAGCTCACAAATGAAGATTCAACCCAAATCACGCTCCTATCTGAGTTACATACTGGGTATTTAACCAAGAGAAAATTGAAATCATTTGCGACCATCAAAACTTTGAAACTATTCGACATATTATTGTCGTCTACGATGGGACGTGTAGATACTATGCACCCTACTTAATATTGAACGTACGTTTCTTATCACATTCGTGCGACAGAGGCAAGTATAACTGGTTGATCCTTCCCATATCTAACACGAACTGGCGAAATTGCGATCTTATCATAATTTCTAGATTCCCAACATTGTTTACATTTTACGTAAATATTGTACCGTTCCTTCCTAGGTACGCATGATGTGCACCGACCATTATAGGGATTCATTCTCTTGCGCTCCGGAAGATAAAAAAGTATGATTATTTTCAAGCACTTCAAAGATTCGAAGGTTACCATCATTCCATATTATTATGTATAATGTATATTATGATTTCAATGAACAAAGAAAAACTTGATAATATAATGATTTTCGAATTTCTAAATGAAACACCATTCAACAGACAAAAGGCACATAATGTATAATATGTGATTTGGGTAAAATTTCCTTATTCTGAAATCAACATTCTATAGTTGACATTTTCCCTATGAGTGATGAAACACAGTCTCCAATATATCGAGAACAACATAACAACAAATATGAGGAGATAATGTACAGTCTTCTTCACAGTACATGTCGCAAATAGATTGTGTTTTCTTTTTTGATCACGCAGAGATAAGCACACTGCCATCACTGTTCATTCGCGATATAACGAAAATATAAAAAAAAAGATGTTAGCTCTTTAATAACACAGTTCTCTCAATGATATTTTGCATTGAAATACGACTTCATATGATTCTTTCTTGTATGAACACGATGTAATAGAAAATTTTTACACATCGGGTATATTTTTGTTCCAATAGGTAATTTAGCATAGATATTATGATTCCATATAAAATATTTTTTCAACATTTCAGATTTTCTGATTATTAAATTTACAGACTTATCATCAATTCAAATAAACCGTGGGACAAAAGATTTGATTTTCATTTCTCTTCACGACTTCCTCATCAGTAGTCCTACTCTGATTGAATTCAAATCTCATCATTGTAGCAATTATTATAAGTTCAGACTTCATTTGAATCTGCTGATTTGTCACAATTGAAATATCTTCAGATTGAATTTGATGGAGATTGATTCAGTTGATCGATATTCCCAATAAATGTTTAGTTCAAAGAGGTCTCTGGTTGAAATTTGCCACTGATGATGGAGATGCAAATAGAAACAGAATTTTGTCTTTTTGATCCACATAATATATACTTTATTGAATGAAATATTGCTCTTCTTGGAATCCGTAGTTTCATGTTCACAAAACGAGTTTTTTGTCTACGGATAGTGACAATCGAATATCGTTTCCGAAGGGATTCTGAAAGTTATTCAAGACGTTGATGATTAACAGCAGGAAAGCAATACTTCAACAACATATTTCCTAATCAATGAAGTCTCGCGACCGAGGGGTAAGTACTTAGCCATTTTTTGTACACCAAGGGGTAATGAATGCCTCAATTCACCGAAATTACCCTGCAATGCCCATTTTTCGGTCAACAATACCCCGCATTGCCCAACATTGCCCTCCAATGCCCAACATTGCCCCCGCAATGCCCAACAATGCCCCCCAATGCCCAACAATGCCCCCCAATGCCCAACAATGCCCCTAGTGCACTATATAACTATCTCTTTTCATTCCATGTGTTGAAGAGAGACAGACTATATTGAAATATAAAAACTGACTTAGTCTTTTACATCATAGTTCAAATTCATTTTAATGTCTTAGTGAATCAATAATCTGATGGGACGAGAAATAATGAATAATTATACATATTTTATCAAGAAATTACACATAACAAGCAGTCTAACATGAAACAAACATAGAAACACACGCCTTTTCGCAAAAACAACTTAGGACTTAAGACGAACATTTTGTCTCTCCTATACTTGATAACTACGTAGTTATTCCTAGAGGTACTTCTTTAGACAGTATCACATTAATTCAGAGATCATAGTTTGGTAACAGAAACACCGGGCATACATATAAGTCCAGATATTAGGTAACAGTACTAAAATCTCGACTAAAACTAAACATTTTTTTAAGTTCATAGTTATTAAAAAAACTCTCTCTGAATTCTTTCTCGAAACTAGAACAAAGTTGAGATTTTCTTGAACCAAAAACAGCTTGAACCTGAATATATATTTTGTTAAAGCACATTACACTGGATATGCATTTTTTTCCGACTCCAAATAATGATTGGAAATGTTCACTTTATCCGCTCTTTTTAGGAGAAACAGAGAATTTTTCCCAAGTACAAGTGGTCCGTGAAAAATACAATCATTCTTTTGGTATCCCGAATCTGTCTTGGTTCTTTTTCATTACCAGTCCCAGATACCAGTTTTTATCAAATACCACTGCATAGAAATTATCTATTCATCCATTTCGGGATCGAAAACGTCAAGTTTTTTCATCATCCTATCTTCTTCTGGATCTTCTCCCAAAGAGTAGATTGCCTCCACATCTGTGGAATCGTCTAAAACGATATCTGGTTCATTTTCTTCTTCTGAAGAATCTCCGATACATTCAGTTTTCTTTTTCTTAGTTTTTGAATTGTCAGCAGGTATTTTTTACTTTCTTTTTTGGACAGATCTAGGATATAGCATTGAAACGCTGTATGCGATCGTTACTGATACGTCCCTACCCCTCATTCAGAAGCCAGCATAATGATGATTTTTTTATTATAATCATATTATAATTTCCCAAAGTGACTTTCACATATGGACTTTTCTCATCTATATCGTAGTTTTTACTCGAATAGTCGGTTGAATCCTATTCCAATCCAATCCAAAGCTATAGCTGTAGCTGGAGTTGATGACAGCATGACGTGATACGAAAAGCTTGAATGGCGCAATCAGAAAGTAGACGGACTACGGAGGCATCACTTTGAACGATAGAACTGAATATAGTGACCTTGAACAGAAACGGATGCGCGCGCAACAAATTAGGCCCAAACATTGCTCCACATTGCCCTTTCAGTGCTATTTCAATACCCCGCATTGCCTAACAATGCCTCACAATACCTTGCAATGCCCATCAATACCCTGCAGTGCCTGACAATGCCTCGCATTACCCCGCAATGCCCCACACTGCCTCGCATTGCCCCGCAATACCCCTAAGTTGTACACCGGATTGCCCCATGTACTTACCCCTCGCTCGCGACTCATATCAAGAAGTTCAAACTCACATCATTTTAAATATCACTTGGTTTCTCCTTTCGAAATGAACCTTATATTTTCCACCACTAAAACCAATGTGAGATAGTTTTTCGTCAGTGTACACTGTCGAGCTATCTGATGAATGTATAGTCCAATTCGGCAGTGACTAGCACCAAATTATCAGAACAGAGAAGATCAATAGCCAGGACGACGGACTACACTGCAGCCAAGATAGCCCTCTTCCACCATGCTGCATTGCTGCAGGATTTTCTCCTGCAGAATCAAATGAAGTAGATTAGTATCTTGTAATTTCCATACATCAAGAACAGAACTAATGGAAAATACAGTCATTGAAACTACAATAAAGAAGGTAGTAGTCCACCCCCATCATACTGAAGTGGAGTGGAAAACATATACATAGTCATCTCCACAATAAACATGTTTCAAGAATATACAGGGTGTTAGGTTCACCGACATAGATCTGGAAAGAGGTGATAGGGGTGATGATTTTGAACATATTCAATCATTATAAATACTGTTATACAAAGTATTACGATTTCCAGAATTTGATCGAATTAGATTAATATATTAGGTCCACATTATTCATGATCAAAGTTTTGTCATACATTCTGTAGCAAGTTGAGCCGTTTTATAGAAATTCCCTCTGGAGAAATCACAAAAAAATATGAAAAAAACACGACTTCCATTGTTTCTGTATATGTATGACAAATTGATATTCACCATACCGAAAATACATAAAGAGATTCTCCATGTGATGAAAATATCAATTCAACAACAACTATTTTTATGGATATAACATTGAATTATATCTGTTGAACATATATAGTATACTGTCGTTGATTGATGGTGCCATCAAATAACAATCGAACTTTTTTTCAATTGGATGAAATTCCTTGCTAAGTCAAGAATGTTCCATTAGACATCAAATTCATCAGCGAATAAAATGAAGTATCAAGATGAAATATTCGTTCGAATATCTTCCTCAGTGTTGGTCCTTTAGAATGATTTAATAACAGACGCGCAGACTCATAATAATGTAGTATACTTATTTCAATGAAAAACAAAATACTTTCTCGGAAAAAATTGCAAGATTTGACAGAACGAAATATTGGAATCATAAGCAGGAATCTAGTTATGAAATATTTTGCTTGGAGTGAGAACAACCACTTCCTAAACGAAGTCGACATTTTCGTCGCGTCTTTGTCGTGGTTACACCTAGTTTCATTTCTGCCTTCATTCGATCTGCTGCCTCATTGATTTTTTTCAATAAGATGTTCTCGATAACAAATATCCACATCATACACCAGTTTCTTCATTCGTTCCCAGACATGATCAGGATCAGGGTCAGGTTTGGAGATCTAGCAGGTCATAATATCGGTCCATTTTGCCATATCCATCTTTCTGGAAATTGGTTATTCGAAAAATCTTAGTTATACGGTTATGGACAAGACATCCGTCGTTTTGATGAAAGATCTCGTGTAAGATTTAGCCTCTCAAATTCAAAGAAATCGGTGAACAAAACACCCTGTATATTTGGAGATGCAATTAGGTAAGGGGGGTTACGTGAAGACAAGTAGGCAGACAAAGAGTTATGATCGCCGGAACATGTTCATTTCCATTCCCTTGATGTGATTATACAGGGTGGGTCACGGTGGATGGCCTATTAGAAGTATCTGGAGAACGAAAAGACAGAACATTCTGAAAATTGGGATGCTTCAATAATTGAACATTCTCTATTCGTCTAAAATGTTTTCATCGATACAGTGTTGCCACTTCTATCAGAAACAACTAGCAACTTTGTTATTTCAAATGGAACACCCTGTATTTTATAGCATTTTTAGATTCTTATTGAGGAGCTGATTTCATCGATGTATACTTGGGGTCAAGCAGAAATGATTACAGAGATATAGGATGTTCAAAATCTAGATTTTTCAATTTTAAGATTTTTTTGTGTCGAAACTCTTCATTATTGATCAAAACGGCGTTCATGTCCCTATTTTAACTTTTGATTCACTATCTACTGGAATTTAATTGGAAAAAATACAGGGTGTTTCAAGATTCAGAATTCTGATCACCATGAATCTGTTCCAATTAAATGTCAGTAGATAGTGGATCGAGAGTTAAGATAGGGACATGTAAACCGTTTTGATCGATAATGAATAGTTTCGACACAAAAGAATCCCAATATTGAAAAATCTCGATTTTGGACACCCTATATCTCTGTAATCATTCCTGCTAGACCCCAAGTGTGATCCATCAATAAAATCAGCTCTTTTGGAAGTATCTGAAAATGCAATAAAATACAGGGTGCTCCATTTGAAATAACGAAGTTGCTAGTTGTTTCTGATAGAAGTGACAACACTGTAGCGATGAAAACATTTTAGACGAATAGAGAATGTTCAAATATCAGAGCATCCTGATTTTCAGAATGTTCTGTTCTTTCGTTCTCTAGATACTTCTAATAGGCCATCCACCGTGACCCACCCTGTATATTATTTATATAGTGGATACGAGTATGTGTTCTGGTACCTACTGAAAACTAGGATGAAGTCAAATTCAATACATTGTCTAATATTGTAGTGAATGTAAATTGTTTGTTTGTTTTTTCAACATGTGAAATTATTTTTTCCCAGAACAAGTGAGGTTTCCTTTGACTCACATTATTTGAATATTTTGCCTGGCGTAGCTTTTTTTCCCTATACTACAACAGAACTTCTGCTGATCATGAAGCTTCGGAGCTTTGAAGCATGTCTACCGAATTTTGAATATGGTATAATTCTGGTCAAGTTGACTGTGAGATTTTCTCCTTTGCCCCATTAGGTAAACGATGAATAGCTTATTACACGAAGATTCACAGTCCCTCTTATAGCACTTTCTACTCGAAAAATCACGAAAGAAACTCATTCCTGATGAAAAATAGGTTCTGGGCGGAATGCAATGGCGCGAAGCTTTGTCAAGCAACGTTTACTATTCCAGAGTGTATCACCATTTTTCTACCCTAATTCTCTCAAGAAATTTCATTTTGCACCCGTCTAGATAAACTGCGAAACGCTATTTTTCCACAACGTTAGAATCTATTAATTCCCAAGAATGAACGATAATCCCCTCTTCATGCACCCGTGCCTGCAAATAATATGCAAAATGCTCAGGCCTCTCGAAATAACCAGACGATACAAGTAATTTTTCCGTCATGTGAAAATTATTGCGTGCCATAAATATTCCAGAATATCATCTAGATCCACCCGCTGCTTCTGAGGGGTAGATATGATGGACAACGTGGTGAAAAGAGAGGTATGCAAGGAGCAGATAACTAGAGGCAGTCCCCATTATTCCATTGGCTGCGATGAAAATAATCGGGATTGCCTGTGCGTGTATTGGTTTCATGAATAGTTTCATGGTAAATGAAGCCCAATATCAACTGCAAGATCGCTTCCAGTTCAAATCTTTCAATTCAGCTTAGTCAGCCAATATTTTGAAGATTCAAATGAGGTAGAGCACCAAACCAACTATATTCTCAACGATTCAGTATTTATACAGGGTGATTCATTGTGGAAGGTGCATGCAGTAAGGGAAGATGGAGGACACCGACTCACCAAGGTGCTCCTGAATAATCTATGTTTCATGGGTCTATCATTCTTTATAGCCGAGATACAGGATGATTAATTGATTTTCCCCATTTTTTCAATCAATCATAACTTATGAATCACCCTATATATTTTTTTGATATTTGGTCTCTAATAAATTCTCCATGCAAATACTGAGATGGAGCCGATGAGCTATTGATAATTTTATGAGTTAACAGAAGAATCAAGTCATGTTTGGAAGTGTTCTAGAAGCACACCGATATAGACATTATAGATGATGAAAATAACCAACAGGGCTCACGCCACAAACACAGAACTGAAAATAAAACCATTAAGAAGCCTATACGACAAAGTTTCCGACATCCCAATCGTGAAATATCATCCAATATTTTTCCTTTTTTCAGTTCAATATTCATTTGAGTTGTAATTTCGTTTCCTATCGCATTGAAAACTGGATTTGAAAAAAATCCTGAGATACTATATTATTCCCGATGATCGAAGAAAAAACAAAATAACACCAAGTCGGTCGACCAGAAGATTTTTATTACTCAATTTGTATCGTTGTGACTAGTTTAGGCTCAAACAGCCATCTTCAGACACATTCGTACACAGTACCTGTGAAGATATTTAATTTACAAGGATCATAAGTTATTGAGGAACGAACATACCTATAAGGTCACGTGGTAATCGCATTATAAAATAGAACAAAAATCAAAGAGCTGTGGTCATTTGTCCAAAAATCAGTCCGGTAAAGGAATGCTGAAATTTTTGAACGACTAAACAGCCAACAGAACCAAAAGGTTCAATATTGGCACAAACTTGGGAAAATTGAATTAATCAATTCACTCAGAGGACTTTCATCTTCAGATGGCCATTTTTGTGGAAGACAAAAGCCAAAGAGAAGGCGAAGCGCCAAGCATATTCACAAAAATGGCCATTTGAGAATGAAACTCCTTTGCGTGAATCAATGAATATGAGTTCACTAAGATTGTGCCAATGTTGAACCTTATGATAGTTGGGTTCTTTTGGCTGTTTAGTCGGTTCAAAAATTTTAGCATTCCTTTATAGGACTAATTGTTGGACAAATGACCACAGCTCTTTAATTTTCATTTTATTTTATAATGCGATTTCCACGTGGCCTTATAGGTATGCTTGTTCCTCAATTACTTATTATCCTTGTGAATCAAATATCTTTACAGGTACTGTGTACTAATATGGCTGAAGATGACTGTTTGAGCCGAAACTCGTCACAACAATACAATTTGTGTAATAAAAATTTTGTGGTCCACCGACTTCGTGTCATTTTGTTTTGTCTTTGTGAAAATCTGGACCACATTAAGAAGGATGGATGGTTTCCATGACTTATCGGATACTATGTTATGTCCGAATTTATTATTCCGATAGGTATAAAGTCACGTATTGTGATATTTCTTATACATGTTGGAAAGTGCCTCTGAATGGTTGTTACATCACACTGCATTCACATCAATTTCAGTTAAGTACTTATTCTTCATCTGTTCATTCAATTTTTTTTTTATTGAAGTATCTAGCTTCACATACTTTTCTTCACCAGAAACTCTACTTGTCCAATATCTACAAGCTTAAAGAATTGGACTTGTGACACTATGATAATTACCCAAACAGGCTTTCTAGGAATGCACAGAGAGA